AGAGAGAGAGAGAGAGAGAGAGAGAGAGAGAGAGAGAGAGAGAGAGAGAGAGAGAGAGAGAGAGAGAGAGAGAGAGAGAGAGAGAGAGAGAGAGAGAGAGAGAGAGAGAGAGAGAGAGAGAGAGAGAGAGAGAGAGAGAGAGAGAGAGAGAGAGAGAGAGAGAGAATATGCTTCCAACATGTCTTGTACTTTGGATTTTTCCACCATAAAAAGGAATGATTTGCAATAGCTTGCTGACTAGGGTCTAGTTACATGAATGCACACATTTCTATATTACACTTACTCATTTTATAGCTTAGCAATTGCAGTGCAAGCAAAATTAACAGGTATCGATCTTGATGCTAGCTTGAAAGGATCTCTTTTCTACTGTTCATATTTGAAAACTAGAATGTTTCCTGTGGTATTTAACAATAGTCTCTGCAGTAACACCATAAACTTAAATACAGGAGCTGCCCAGTTTATGTCCTGGATGAGCTACGTGCTGTCATGAGTTTTTCTATGGTTTTCCTTAGTCTTTCCAGGCATGTTTTGGAGTATTGCTTTGGGAATGGTGGGGGAAGAATATATATAAACTGTGGGAAAAGTTTAGAGGGAGCACAAAAAATCATTAAATGTTGAACACCCAAAAATATCTCGTACATAACTGGTAATAACTTATAATATTTTTAGCAGAAGTTTTTATGTCCTTTCTAATACTCTCTCAGACATCTTTGAATTTTTTAATCAAAGGATCTGTCAAAGTATCAGTCCTGTTTGTTCTTTTTTATAAAAGTAAATCTTTATGATGTGGTATTGTCAGCTCACTGTTCAGTCCAGAAACTGGAGAGCCATATCTTGATGATTGTCTTCTGCTGCTTATATGTCAGTATGTGACTACAGATCCTCCATATCTGGAGGGTATGATCTTGCTGAGTGACAAGGGACCCACCTAATGAGGGAAACTGCAAATTCTGGTGCTAATGAATGTGTTAATAGTTTCTCACTTGTGTTTAACAGAATTTGCTGTTAGTAAAAGAGTTATCTACTGCAGTTTCCAATTTAGTAGAATAAATAATCTTATGGTTGAAAGACTGCACTGTTATCACTATGTGTATAATCTGTGTAACATAATCTTACTGAGCTAACAACTAAGACGCTGGTATTCCAAGGAAAATATTTCATCAGAAGTCAAACAATGGATGCACCCATGTTGTAACTCAGATGCAGTACATGCTGAGAAGTTTACACATTTCAATAAATCTGTAGAATATTAGGCACTTGGAAAGGGGTAGTTCTGAAAAATGGCGTTTACTTAGGTTTAAACATTCCCTCTGCTTAAACAGGATAGCAGGCATTATGCTGGTTTAATTATGCAATTTGGCGATATGTGTTTCTGTATTTGATTTTCAGAATAGCCATGTTGGAAACAATGGGACATAAACTTACCCTGAACATGTGAATGCACCTTGGGTTTAGTAATATAGTCATGGTGTTCACAGTATACATTCCATTGATTTATTTTGTGTATCTTGCATATATTTTTGTAATATTGATCACTCTGAGTGATGAGAATATTTAGCCTTGTAAGTTTTGTTCTTGTTTTTAAGTGAATAATTAATACAAATAACAAATGAACAAATTTGTTAAAGTAAATAACTGAATAATATGTGAACCTGTTTGCCTAATTAGAAAGGGTGATTGTGGCCTTAAGTCTTAAAAGTTTTGGTACCCTTGGGATTTATTATATATAAGGTATATTTCTACAGTAACATAATTTCTTTTCTAAAATATCTTATACATATTGCCTTACCAGGTATAGAAAATTCTAGGGATAAAGTTACCAACAGTCTTGGTGGACAGATTGAAATGTACCTAGATGTATCTTTTGTAGACTGCAAAGATGAAGTATGATATTTATTAGTGCAGTTTGAGTCATGTGCTTTGTGTTAATTACTAAGTGATGGTAACTCAAAAATAGCATAATTATGCAGCTATGATGTGATCACAAAACTTTTATTTTTTTGGACAACATAGTAACATAAATTTTTGAATGAGTGGGTCATTTCCTGCCATAGGTACCTCCATCACTCACAATTCATTACTTTACAGAATTCTGTATATAGGTGTCCAGTAGAATAGCTCCCCACAACTTGAAACTTGTCAGACATAACCTAAACATTTTATACAGTCACCAAATTTTCAGTTTTAAACATTCAAAAAATGGTACATACTAAATTTACAGGCATGTTTAATGCTTTGATGCTGAAGCTTGTCAAAATAATTTTTAGGTATATTTTATTGTTCTCTATGAAATTTATTTGCAATTGATGAGTAGGTATTAGCATCAAATAGATATATATTCTGCATAGTTGCCGTTTTGTTATTTTACACTATACAAAAGAGTGACCTTGACAAATGCATATTTTTTAGGTCTGTTAGCTCTGTGGAGGAGAGTCCTTGAGTCATTCAGATAAACAAATTTGGTACCATCTAAATACTGTGAATCAGGCATGCTGTGCTAACCTGCTCAATTATTTTAAAAGGATTTTACTTTTTTGAAGCAGTTTAATTTCTTATTCCATACTGTTGACATTCATCACCACTGTTCAGCAAAATTTTGTTTTTTATTATATAAAACACTAGGTATATCTATTGTATGTTGCTGCTTCTGTCACCTTATATGCTTTATTGAACTTCAGGTCTTGGAGCAGGTTCATCATTCTCTGGATGCCCGCGAGGATGCACTGGACTATGTAGAGAGTTTGATCCTACGGTTGCTGGGGATGCTGTGTGCACGTCCATCACCACATACAGTACAGGATGTTGAGGAGAGGGTGCGGCGCACATTTCCAACTCCAATTGATAAGTGGGCGCTTTCTGATGCAAAAGAGGCTCTGGATCGTGGCAAGAAGAAATCTCCACTTGTTCTGCCTGTTGACAAAGTCCATCATATGCTGCAGAAGGTGTGTTGACTGGAGCTGGCCAACCGGTCAAGTCACTGGTGGTTTTGTTTACATTTTGCTCTTGTTAATGCAAAATTTGAAATTCTGTGAGAGGTACCATGATACATTAATATTAAGAATTGATTTTAATTGCAGAGCCTAACACAAATTATCCAAACTTGTCTAATCAGTCACGTAATCATGGTCTCTGCCAGATAATATAAGCATAACAAAATTCATGCCAGGAAGTGAATGAATGAAATTTTTGCCTTTTCCCCTTGATTTCATAAATATTCTTGTGTCTTGTGAAACATGCTTCATAGGATAAGGCATGATAAGAGGAAAACATAGTAATGGAACTGTTGAGGTGACAGAATTGGCAGACTTTTCTACATAAAAAGTGAAGTGTTTGAAAAATTATTGTATACAGTTAGTGATGTTTGTTGTTTATGCTTTAGCATGAGTAAAGAACAGCTTATGGACCCATTGTCTGTTTCATGTTTTTTTCTAGGAACAAGGCAACTTGCATTACCTGGGGTTATTATTGGAACACATTATTGTTCAATGATGGATGATAGTGCCATTGTTGGAACACTTACAACTATGGGAATTGAGGCAGTTGTTGGAATATTGTTTCTGTTGTTATCTCTTTTGAGCAAAAGTGATCTAAGTCCACAGTTTCTTTTAGATGTGGTTAGCACCAAGACAACCTGCTTACAACACCCACATTGTGGCAGGAATTTCAGTGTATTGCAAAAAGTGAATATTTCCAAACTTTTTTTAGTGTATAAAACTGCCTGTGTATAAGCATCATATGTTTTGTAGACCTTGCTACTAGGTGGAGATGAGTGGCTCATCTTTATACTTTGATCACTCTGCCAACAGGGAGACCCCATTCTTTAAAGTAGTGGTTGATGCAGTTTATTCCATTGTATTAAAAACAGGTAAAAGGGATAGAAAAGAGTTTTTATTGTTATAATGACCCAAGATGCTGGCAATGTCTTTTCTTGAAAAAATTTATAACTTAACACTAAAATGTATAGGTGTGATATTGAATCACTCTATATAGTCTATGAAACAGAAGACTTGTCTTTGCTCTATATAATTTCTGAATGATTGTTTCAGTGCACTAGATTTAGGGTTGTGCTCATTTGCTTCTTCTGAGTGATACATTTACAGTATCATAAATTTACCAGTACGTATAAGTTTATTGATGAATTAATTTAACTGAAAATTGTATCTTTGTACACCAGTTTATTTGACAGAAGGGAACACAAAGTTTCCTCTTAAAGTAAAAGTCTCTGCCGTGCACAGAAAAATATTCTCGGAAGATATAAATCACTGCAGTGTTCAGCTTCTAGTATAACACATTTAGACTGATTACCATTTTTTCATCAGAAATCTCTTCTATAACTCTGTATAAAAAGAACACTTTTTATTTCCAGGGCAAGCTGTTGTTCTACCTTCTTATACAATCTTTGTGTAAGTGATATATTTTTCTAAACATATTTGTGTTGTGATTTTCAGTATTTGTAAATTTTGTTGTTATCTTTTGCCATAGGAGGTTCTTCAGTACAAAATTGATTCCCAGGTGGCCCTCTATGTTGTTGCTGTGTTGGAATACATCTCAGCTGATATTCTCAAGGTGACATGTCTTTATTCATTCTTACTCTAGTATAATGAAACCCCTTTGTATTCTCCATAGATATTTCCGCAAACATTTTCATAAACCTGGGGACATTTAGTACCTTCTAAGCAATAATATGTGACTGTAGTTAGCATACAGGTAATTCCATAGCTTATGCTATTCACAGTGCAGTATGTGGGGGATTTATGACAGCTTCATTGGCTCCTTGCCCCACAGGTCTATGCTGGGCTAGACTGTATGCCCCAAATCTCAAAATTTTTTGACGTAAATACGTCTATATGGAAGGGTCATTCCGCAAAAAAGTGTAACGAAAAAGTGACAAAAAATGTGTAAGATCCCTATCAACAAATCGACAACAATGTGTAAATATGGACCGACAACAATGGTCAGCTTACGTGCATTGTTATGTTACCTAGGAAACGTCATCTGTTTACTCGGCATTGTTGTGTTACATTACTGCCGTCAACAATCCGCTTTTGTAACAAGATGGATAACATTGAAGATAACATTACATTACTTTACTTTACATTAAATTAAATTACATTACATTACAGAGACGTAAATATAATTTAAATACAGAGACGTATTTACATCAAATTCTCCGGAACCGTGGTTCCAAAGTAACTTTTTTGACTTTGCATTACAGTATCCAAACAATGTAATCCAAGCATTAGGCCTAGATAATATTCCATGTAGGGTGTAATTTGATTTACTCTGAATACAAAATTAATTGTTTGAAGATAAACGCCCAGAGTTGGGTAAGTGGAGCACTTTGGGCAATTTGGTTTTGATGTGTTGGTTTCTTTGTATATGATTTTTTACAAAGTAGTTTTTGACACAGAGTAGTGGTTCATAACTATTCTGGCTATTATACCAGGTCTCCAATTTATGAGGTTACGGTTGTGCTTACATTGCGTTATCGGCTGCTGCTGTTGACGTAGGCGGGACTTGTACGCCTGAGTCACGGGCGAGTCAGTTTCGGTGCCACTAGTAACAGCGAACTATGTATATTTCTCGTCACTAATACATGTTATTACATTAATTGTTTTTACCTTAATTCACAAAAGATGTTCAAAGTGACTTCCTTATGCTTGCAAGCAAGTTTCACATCTCGTTAACATGTTTCGAAATACTCGACGAAGCTCTACTTGGGAAATTGTCGAATATTTTCTTTTTGTGATTTAAGGTAAAAACAATTAATGTAATAACATGTATTAGTGCCGAGAAATATTCGTAGTTCACTGTTACTAGCGGCACCGAAACTGACTCGCCCGTGACTCAGGCGTACAAGTCCCGCCTACGTCAACAGCAGCGGCCGATAACGCAATGTAAGCACGACCGTAACCTCATAAATTGGAGACCCGGTATATGTTTATCTTTTATTTCTTAATTTTTATGCATAATACACCTGAATTTCTGTACTTCAGGCACTAGTAATAAAGAAGAATATGTTTTATCATTGCCTTTTTGTGGATAATTTTTATCATATTACATATTTAAATGAAAGTTAATATGAACAAAATACGTACCAAGTTAGGTAGATTATTTTTTTAGTAAGCTGCGTGGTGCTGCTAGTAACACTACATTAGAACATAACTGGTTATTGTTGTGACTTTGTTTCACAGCTGGCAGGAAATTATGTGAAAAATATCCGCCATGTGGAAATTACATGCCAAGATATCCGTGTTGCCATGTGTGCAGACAAGGTAAATGCTCTATGTTCCAGTACCATATCAGTAGTTTTCATTCATTAAATTAAATTTGTATGTTGTTGTTATTATTATTACCATTATCATAATTTTTAAATATTTATTGATGCCGATAGTAGATCCGAACCATATGGTAGTTTGTCATGGCACAAGAAATTAGCTCAGTTGAATTTAGGTTGGTGGGCTAAATGATCTCACATTTTTATGCATTAATTAAACTCGTGCATTAAAACAATAAGTACATTTCATTTTTTCTCAACACTTACAGATGTGGATGAAATTTTATATCTGAGACCTGCATAAAAAGCTGTTGGTGACAAATTTCACTTTCGTATTTGACCATTAGAATTCCTTCTTTGCATATTGGTATTAAATGAACTCTTCCTTCAAATTTTTTGCTAGTACAAGTATGATAATTATTACAAAAGTTGTAGGCATAAATTGTACTATGACAAGCAAGTACAATTGTAAAATGTTCCTTTACAACTGTTGTATGTGTTGAGATACAAATAGTTCTGGATAAACTGCCATATGTTAGAGATTATCTGGAAGGAAGAGGTCAAACTTCTGGAGGTTGTTAATCGTTGATTGTGTGTAATGGATATTGTATGAGTCTATTGAATTTGTGACAGGTTAACAGACATTCAGAGGTAAACAGTAACAGGAGTAATTTGTGGACACACTTTTTACAGAGCTATTGTTAAGTCTACAATAAAAGTTCAGACTTGTAATTTGTTTTCTTTCTAGATATGCTTGAGTATGGTATTTCATAAATAATATAAGGTATTCTCATCTAAAATTACTTTTGAGTTTTGTCTGCAGCGAATATTCAAACTATGCCTTCAGCTTTGTTATGTAAGTTGATCTATTTTCAAATTGATGGTCCTCCAAATAACTTCTGGGCTATTTCATTTGTTCCACATGATCCAAAATCCATTGCTGCAGTTCATCTCATGTTCTTGTTTTTTCTCTGCATGCCAGCAATTTCATGTGATCCCAGAGATGAATATCTAAGAGGTTGAGAATTGGAGATCTTGCTCACCAGGCATACCAACTTTTGCAGTGTGTAATAAACCTATGGCAAACATGGTTCAGGATGTTTAAATCAGTTGTACATGATATGGATACAGAAATTCGTTATATAATTAGGCTCTGCAAACTTCAAGATGTCTTGAAATTCTTTAGGTACTCACCTGTGGACTGCGTTGTATCATATAAGCAATGTTGTCTTACTGTTGATTTTAATTTTGAGGACAGTCTGATGTGGATGTGGAAGGAAATTCACCAGTTTTTCACATATGTCTATTAAGAGCACTCTTGGCCATTGATTGTAGTTCATATCCTTCAGCAGCGTCTGTTGAGTTGTATCTGCAATATCTGTAAATAAAGTAAATATCTGGATATTCATCGTTTGAAAATTTAAAAGGCATTGTTGTTTGAAGTTAATGTGTGGCACAGAACCATTAAGTACTGATAGTTTTTGGACTTTGTCCATCATCCTATATTCTACAGATAGGTCACTGCATTTCAGGAGCTCAGTCTTCTCCTACCTTCATCCCCTGAAACATCTGTTTGTAGAATATAAAATGAGGGAAAAAGTCTAAAAGAAAATCTGTACCTAACTGTAATATGTCATTGTCAGTACCCTTTAAGATTGTTCTACAAATTATGCCTACATGTCTGAACCATTCACTCTGTGATACTGCTGTCTCTGCCATCACTTCCGACATGACTGTACTACTACCTTCACCAATTATATTAACTGATTTTAAACTTCAACTGTGATTTCTTTGTTAATGTTGATCCTGCTTTTGGTTGCTGGCACCACGTGGAAGTATTCTGTGTTGCAGGGTCAACATTAATATCTTATATTATTTTATCATATAAAGTACAAATAATCCTTAATTGTATATTTATTTGTAGTGTTGAACATTTTACCCAAACTCTCAGTGATACGCATGCACAGGTGGTTATTTACTTTGAATATGCGTAACTTCAGAATAATGGAACTTACAATGCAACAGAATATTACTTTGAACATTTGCAGTAGATTTATGCAACTTCTCTGTCATTTATTCCTCTTATTATTTAACTTTGGGTATCTGTAACCATTATGAATGGCACAGAATAACATTCTTTTCTCAGAATTACTTGCTAACAATCTTCTGAAGTGTGCCCATTTCTTCCTGGGTTGCCTTGTATGCCTGTGATACTGTTTTTTTATTTTCTTTACTGATTATATGTCTAGCTAGCAAATTTAGAATATTTCATAGTTTCCAGGTTTGAGGATTTTGAAACACCATTGAACTAAAGATGTTAGTATTGAATAGGTCTATTATTTATGGATGGGCATAAAAGTTCTGGAACTAGAGTTAGTGTTGTAGTTGCATACTAGGAATACAGAGTACCCAGGAGTACCATGACTGGAGTGGTTCATCATTACAGTGTGCCCAGTCACATCATTATGTCTACAACAGTTCATGATCAAGGACCAAATGGCTGTGCAGTCCTAACGTTCCAGATGCACCCTATGACTTCTCCTTGGTTTAAAAATGAAATTGAAGCTCAGAGGAAAGAGATATAATTGTTTTTGAAATAAAGCAAAATTTGCAGCATGTACTCGATAGTTATGAAAGAAGAGTTTCAGACATATTTCCAATAATGGCAGAATTGCTGGGCTCATTATATTAACTCCCAAGGGGAGTGAGTACTTTCAAGGAGACATATTGCAAATTATGGTCATATAAATCTTTGTTTTAAATGCATTCTCATGACTTTTGTGTACCATTTTGTATGAATCTTACTAGAGAAGTCAAGATTCAGTTCTGCTTCAGACCCCCTAATCTGTAAGTTTCCATAGGATTTCCTAGGACTTGCAGGAAAATGGTAAGGACACTTTTTAAGAAGGAGGTCAAACATACTCTCAACTCCACAACCCCTAAAGAAAAACCAAGCAGGTTTCTGTGGTGGTTTAACACTGCAGATTTGTATGTTGTGTGTATATGATTCAGAGATCAGCTGGATTTTCATGGTTTTTCTCAGTATCATCAAGCAATTGTGAGGGCGAGTAAACAATATTCCAAATTTCTTCTTATTCACTATTCATTGTTGTCTTCTTATCGTGTTTGGTGCTATATAACCTGTACAGTTTAAACATTGTTATTTTTAAATCACTCTGTAGTTAGACAGTCCAGCAGAGGACCTGTAAAATGGTTAATGTAAATTGTGAAATACAGGACAGAAAATTTTCTTTATCAGCTCATGCAGTTTGCCAGCATGGAAAAGGGTACTGATCTCTTAGGCAGCTGCTTGTGAAAGGTATTCTCTGGACTGAATGTTTCCTTTGTTGTGTTAAAAAACAGAACAAATCCTGAGTAAATATTTATGGAATTATGGGCTTGAAATCTCAGGAGAGGAAGTCACATCTTATTTGAAAGCCATTATAAATGCCATAACTTGTTTAGTTGCAGTTTTATTGCTTTAGTTATTATTGATTATGCAATGTATGTACTTTCCATGCGTCCCATTGTGAACCGATATGAACAAATCAGGTGGTATGTAAAACAAAACAAGAAATATTGACATTCATCCCTCCTCATTTTCTACTTTAGACCTGAAACTCACTGTGCCTATATTTGCTTAGTTTCCATGGGTATACAGACTGATTTTTCAGAGTGTTTTTATTGCGATTATCTCGATCTTGCAAACTTGTCTAAACAGAGTTCAGGCTGCTATGTAGGCTTTTGTAGCCTTTGTTATTCTGGATTGTTTATACCATGCCTGTCTATCTGAATGTTGTTTCTTACTTGTGCTTCGGTGGTATTTCTTGCTGCTTTCTGCTAGTATGATATTGAAGGAAAATACAAGTATAACCTATGATGTGTTTGTATGTGAATATTTTTGTGATTTTATGAAACATATTCGAGTTACTGTTTCATTATTAATGAAACATACTTGGATTACTAAAGTTTGGAATCTGTCAGTATTACCACCATGCTTTGTGTTATTGACAAAAGTGTGTGTGTGTGTATAAATAAATAAATATATATATGTATATATATAATTTATTTATTTTTTGGTAAATACATTTTGTTGTATTTTTAAGCACTCCTCCTTCATAACATTACTGTACTTACTTGTGTAAACATATATTTTTCCAGAACCCAGTGTATCCTGACCATTTTTACCGAATTGCATGCATCATCAAAGGAACATGCATGTTACTGTTATTAGTGAATTATACAAATTTGCAAGATCATAAAATATATGTTGATTTCACACAGTTTTATAATTAAAATTGATATTTGGTACCAGTTATAGAAAATTTTAGTAGATTTATTTACTTTATGAAAAATTTGGGTTGAAAGCTGTTTTTAATTACATTTGTTTAGGTAATATGTTTTACATAGAAATGACATAAGTAAATACAGTAATATGTCTAGTTAAGATTTACCAAAGAAAAATATTTGTAAATTGTTTTTTAAAACCTGAAAAATCATTTTTTGTGAGATGTGACATATGTGGTGTAGAGAACTTGATAATTATAAAAAATAAGTCCAGAATACTGAGGTGTAACAAAAGTCACATAGCATGGTATTAGCATACTCTACAAATGCTACTATTTCCCCATCAACAACAGTTCTCTTATATTCTTTTCCAGTGACATGCACAGCTTTCTAATTAAAAGTCAGTCCAGATATTATATCAGCTGCAGGAGTATTTGTCCATGGTGTGAAACAATGCAGATTTCATTAATTTATTTTCACTGTAAATGAATAACTTGTTCATTTCAAACAATTAATTTGTATAACTGGTTTTTGGGGATAAGCTGCTTCAAATGTTGAAGGTTTTACAATGTTTCAGCAACACAGTTTCTAGGTTTAGGAAGTCTTATATAGATCAACCAATAGGTGATGAGTAGTTTGTGAAGGATATGATTGGAGGAGCATGATGGTAAGATGGCTGGCTCCTGGGTTGTAGTGAAATTATGAGTTAGAATATGTACTGTGTATTATAAAGGTTAAATTTATTAAGTTTCTTTAATTGGAGTAATTTTTACTTTATCCTATCAGTTACGAAAGAATTATTTCACCTTTGAAGTTGAAGGTTGGTAATAATAATCTCACTTAAGATCTAATATTTTACAAATACAAAATTAGGCTTTAACTTGAAGTTTTGCATTGTCATCATACATTGTTGATGTGGTCTTATAAGTTGTAACACCATATGAACTTGTAGGTAGCTGCCAATATTTTGGAGAAATGTACTATCTTCATCTTTACAGCTGAAGTGGAACGTTGGTGTCTGCCTATAAGTCCACATGGCATTATGACTCCAAAGCCCAACATTAACATCTTCACTGCCTTGAGAACCTCAAATATCATTGTACATAGATTTTCGACAGTGCCTCCCTATTTTCTCAGTCCTCCCTAACGCACTTCTCATTTGTTCATGTCCACTCTTTTCTACACACACACACTCTTTTTGTATCACCGCTTGGTCTCTCTACATAGTCCTTGTTTATGTGACTTCAATTTTATACTTTCCAAGAATAACTACTCTTGTTATCAATGCACATGTAACATATGTCCATACTAGTGTATCCTTTATCTTGGACTATTTGTGAAAAACTTTGTAAAATGTGGTTTTGCACCATTTGCAAATATTCAGTGCATAATCTTCAGATTTTAGGCATATTCTATGTGCAAATAAACTGCCAACTATATTCTTTGGGAAACATTTTTATCCCCCTTTCATACATGTGATCTATGCTACGTTCAAGTAAGTATTGTTAACTCAAAGAATGTCACAGTTTGGTTTGGTCTTAATGAGCGGAAGTGTAACTTGAAATTTTGGAAATGATTCATTTTCACTTGTGCTGTACATAATATGAACAGAATATGTTAATGTAGTAAAACCTGCTTATAACAGAATCATAAGAGAACTGAGAATATTTCCTTTTATCAAAGGCACTTAATCATAGATAAAAGAAAACTGACACAGTGCACACCCCTGTATTTATGATCTAAATTACAAACCATAAATTTATGTCACTGTTTGCTACACTGCTACAGATGAGTGCTCATTTTAAATTAATTGTATTTATTTATTCTTTTTCCTCTTTCTGTCCTTTCCTCAAAAGTAACCTAAAATAATAAATATTAAAGCTAGTTTTCCATAATGGTTTTTGTTTTTTCTGTTTCTCTTTATTGAGGTAACTGTCACATTTATTTCAACTTTACATTTTCAGGAACATAAACATTTTGCTATAAAGAGAGAGTGTTTGCTTAATTGAGGTAATAGCACTTAGCCATGGATGAATACATTTGCAATCTAAAATTATGCCTGGGAGATAAAATTTAATTGCTGCAAATCACACATGGAAACTAAGTCATTCATATCTCACATATCTATTATAACAGTGTAATGTGACACACATGGACAAAACCAGAACTTATGAAATTGTAATTTTATCCCTTCTTTAGTTTCCTTTCTTTCTCTTTTTACTGTGAGTTTGTCCCAATGGTATGTTTTGTGTGGTGCAACATTGGTCGTATGTTGGTTGCTGCATGAGTAGACAATGGCAGGGCTATACATGCTGCACTGAGACATAGAAATGTGACGAGTGTTGCAGTGTGATTTTAGCAAGCCCTGTTTATGCTGAAAATGATTATAAGCAGTTAAAATAAGTAGATATCATTTAAATGTTAGGTTATGTTAATGACCAAATAATAATTTCTGGCCACATTAGTAGCCACTCAAAATAGTTTTTTGAAACTTCCCTCATGATTTAAATAATATTTATTTGTAATTGTAATAAGTTGCTATAGTGAGTGGTAGAAAGTTCCCCCTTTGTTTTGGAAATGTAAGATAAATAAACCAAAATACTTTTTATTTATATTTGTTATTGAAATGTTCTTTATTGGTGCTTTTAACAAATATGAGGAACTGGAGTAAATTTAGAGTAAAGATGGATTTACTGTAAGGGATTTCATAGTCCCAGAATTATATTTTTTTATCTAGTAGTTGGTATCTTACATACCAGTAGGTATAATTATATAATATAATATATATTATATAATTATATATACCTTCTTCATAATGTCGTGTTTCAAAATAGCATCCATTTGCAACCTATTTATGAAGTGTGTTTAATACTTCTAATTTTTTCTTGCAATATTGGAAGAGTGGATAGTGGGTATTGTCCAAACTACAGTTATAGTTTGTGGTTTAGTCAGTTAAATAAGGTGCCCATGATTTTAGGACATGGTGTAAATAGTAAATAGATTTGGCCTACATTCTAAAGTAAATGTCATCTTCAGAAGCTGGCTTCAGCCCTGAGGATGAAGTATGTTTCTCTGAAATGTTATCTACCTACAAGTCCACATGGTGTTGCTGCTTAGAAGACCAACAGTGATGTGTGTTCATTTATCAATAGTGTATGCACAGTTAAGCATTATTTAATAGTATTTAAAGGTAAAAGTTAAAGAAAAGTTGCCCCTGTGCCTCTCCATTATATCATGGAGGGATATAGGGGGCATGGTGGTAGCACACCTCACATTTAAACATTGGCACTAGAAAGTAGGAAGTGGTCACCTTCACACTCTGACATCTTCACTCTCCCTCCCCCTAGAAACATATGTGCCGTGAGGGAATCAAGCCCTAGTTATCAGTCATATAGCCATCACTTTGTACTGGTCAGAACAAATGGTTTTCAAGTAAATTGTCTGTTGATTTTGGTCTTCTGGATTGTGACACTGTGTGGTCTTGTAGGTAGTTGCCAGAGTCTTAGAGGAACAGTGGTAATCATCTGGAATATCACACAGTGTCACAACCTGGAATATTGCAGTTGACATCTTCACCACTGTGAGAATCTCAGAATTGTTTGTTCTTTGAATCCTGCAAAGGAAAAGTGCTGGAGGAGCACTGTTAATTACGATGATTGCTAGCAGTGTCCTTGCGTGAATGTTACAATAGTGAAAGGCAATTCATATTACTGTTAATTTTAATATGACTTCTTAAATTGCATGACAGAATTTTAGAAAGGTTGCTAAATGTGTGGTATAGATTTAAATTTTCAACAAAATCTGAATATTATATGTGGTTGTCTTTATTTGAGGTTGGGTTAGATTATCAGAAGTACAAAAAGTCTTGATCCTTAAACTGAATTACACAGTTATCAAACTAAAATGTAAAAGATGTGATAGGCTGAGTAATGTGTACTTGTTACTTGCAGTGTGTTTTTGAGGTACAACTTTTATTAACCTTTATCAGCCATGCTTCCATACTTATTCCTGATCTATCTGGCCATGTGTCAGAAGTATTCATGTTGCACATCATTGTTGGTTCTTCTCATTTTATTCTTCAGTTCATGGTAATTGTTTTAAATGGAATGCTGATAAAAAATCTTAGTCTTAGAATATTATGTTCTTATTTTTTATTAAAAGTGTAAAAATTATGCTTTTTTAAATTATAACTGGTGTTTCTTTATTCCATGTTAATTCAGGCAACATTTAATTCTGTCTTGTTACTTGAACCCTTCAAGATAACTTGAAGACCAATTCTGTTTTTATGTTGTTTGAATGAGGTATTTCACAAAGGTACATTGCGTTCCGTCTGTTGAATTTCTTTTGAAGAACATGATCATGCTGTCAGCTGTCACATATCTACATGTTTGTAAAAGAACAGGGAATTTCATGCTTTTTCTGTTACTGTCATTGGTTTGGTGACAACTGACTAAAGATTGTGTGAAACGTGAAACAGTATTACATTTATTGTGTTGATAGTCTTGGATCTGCATTCCAAATTGTTTTATCTGACAGCCAGAGGGCTGATTTATGTGTCTTTAGAATGTACCATTTTATCCTTGAAATAGTATGTTTAAGTATACTTGTAAACTTCTCAAAAATTTCTCTCTCATAGATAATGGATGGTATTACTTTCAGAGGTAAATAATTGAATTTTTAAGCTCATTCCAACATTATATTTAATATGGCATTAATCCATCTGTGAAAGTGGTTAAATTGTTATAGGAGCAGAAATATTAGCTTTTGGTTGTGGATAATATTTTTAGTCACTTCAATGGAATGTGGTGAAGTATTTTAGTAGGATATATTTTTAAAATAAATTCACTTGAATTTTTATTGGATTTGTTTTATAAAATTGTTCATATTTCTTGTCATATAAATAGGTCCTCATGGACATGTTCTATCAAGATGAGGATGCCAGTGGAGGTGGGGGTCTGTCAGGAATTGGTGTGATGGATGGCACTGATCCTGTCACACCTCGAACTTCTCTCACTTACGAAGAGGTTGTTAAGGATCTCATACATGATGAAAAACAGTATCTTCGTGATTTACACATGATCATCAAAGTTTTTAGGGAAGAAATTGCAAAGTTGGTAGCAGGTGACTCTAAGGTAAATTTTAATAAATTAAATTGAAGGAGACCTTACTGAATTATAATTTTTGTGCTCTTTATTCTGATTTGGGGAACCTACTTACTCTAATAGGTGGTGAACTGCTAATTTAGGCTCAGTCTTGTAGTATGGAGAAGTTACTGAAGATGTGAGCATCATTCCATTACAAATAAGAAAGCTTTCTCTATATGGCTGTGATACAGATTATCTGCTTTTTATTCTTATCCTGGGATTGAGGAAATAATTTTGGCAGTTTATTAGTTTGTTATTAGTTTGTTATTAGTTTTCTTGCAAAGGTATGAAAGAAAGGTTGTAGAGCTGTAGGTTAATGTAAATGCTCTTATCTTCTTTACCTGAAGGTACAATTCTTCTTGTTCTTAGGAACATTATCTTTTTATAATTTACAAGGAAAAGTAATAAATTAAAGGAAATTTTAGTTTGTGTTCAAGGTGGTGTTTCAGCACTTAAGAAGATAGCAGGTGTAACCGGTATGAATTGTCCCTCATTTGCTGAAGGAGGATTTTAAGATTATTGACCAAGTCAGTTTTTGGCCAAATTTATAACTTTAACTAAAATTATGATTTTAAAGTGTGCACTGATTCTCACTTCTCTTGAATGTCAGTAGAACTGTGTATTTTCTGGTATCTGTCCAAATTATCAGATATGAATTTCATCGTATTTTTAGCCTCACCCTCTGTACATGTGTTGGACCCTGTGTAATCATATTCTGTAATTAGCACCATGGTGCTAAGTCTTTCTGGGCCCCTATCCAGAGTCATTTTATATGTGTGAAACTCTTTATATGTTTGCTGCAGCTAATTTCTGTATGTGCTTGTAGGAACTTGATGCTATGTTCAGCAATATCATGGATATCTATGAGCTGACAGTGACACTGCTCGGTTCACTGGAGGATATGCTGGAGATCAGTGAGGAGAAGCAGGTCCCAGCAATAGGCAGCTGCTTTGAAGAGTTGGCTGAGGTAAAACATTATCTCATAGCCAAGAATCTCGTAAGGTGCAGGTGAAGTGATTTGTTTACATCAGCCCTCTACTCTTGTAATAGAAAGATAACAGTAACATAAGGTCTGCTTATGGTCTTCGAAATAGGTGAATTGGGATCTGATTTACAGAGTTATATTTATCCTTATAATATGTTTGCCATGATAACATTTAATCCATTGTATTCTTATTCCTCTTCAAAGAGTGAGTGGTCTGAGGTTCGGAAGTGAAATCATTCATTTCATCTACTTCTGGACATTTTTCAGCTGCAACAGCAGTGTATGTATTTGCCATTTTAGGGATTCTGTCTTCATGTGTTCTCCCTATATGCTATCTCCAATGTGACATAATTTGTGTTGTATTTATATTTTGTGGTTTGCTTCTTCTCTACCAATAGTGATCTAAGCAGCCTCGTGTTATTATCATTTAATTTTTAATTACTATCTACATTTATTAATGTTCATATTCAGGATCTTAAAATTATATTGATGTTCAGGCTTGAAAGGGTTTTCCAATTCTTTGAGAAAAACATTCATCATCTCTGGTGTTTATCATTATTTATTTATTGTAATTAATTCCTTTGTTTTTAAAACTTGAATATTAGAAGGAGAAAATTATGTGACTGGGTGAAGGTGACATTTTTATTGTTAATTTATTTTCAAGTCAGTTGTGTCTCAGGCCTCAGAACTCTTTAAATTAGTACAGAATGCCCAAAACTAAATTTTATGACATTGTATCTTGATTTTCAGAAAGGACAATATCAGTTTTCTTTCTTTCTTTTTTCCTCCCTCTCTCTCTCCTCCCCAGGAATACACATTATCAGGTTTTGTTTGTTAGTTTATTTCATGACAACAACTGCATGGTTTATATGATGCCAAATGGTGGACTGGCTGTGAATGATGACATAGCCATGGCCTGTTTTACAGTAGTACTGGAGCAAAACCATGAGAAACCTCAGGAAACATGTGATGTGGTCTGAGATTAAACTTAGGGTTTCAAAATATGATGCTGTAGGTCTAATTACTCAGTTGAAATATTTGGTCCTTAAGTATAGGTATAGTATTTATTTGTGAATTTGTGATTTTGGAATAAGTACAGAAAATGATTTCCTGAAATAATTGAACATATTTCAGAATTATGTAACAAACTGTATGACCCTTGTTAAAGTTAATTTTCTGTGATTTCATTATATTAGTAAAGCATTATTTTTTATAAAGAGTTTAAAGCATATGGTTATTTCTATATACTCTCAGTTTCCTCAGTTATTATAATGAAGCACACTTAAATCTGGCAATGCAGTGTGCATAATATTTTGATGATTATCCACATTTTAAATTCCGTGGAGTTTTGAAGAAGACGGCCATTACCGTACTCACCACCATGAGAACCTCAAATCCCACTTCACAGTTTTTTTGTGTTTTTTTTGGTATTTTATACAATGTATATTATTGCATTACTCTGCTGTAAATTTGTGAATAATGAATTTGCAAGAAATGCTTTTAATTTAATTGTAATTTAGTACTTTGGGACAATAACTTAAACAGTCGCTGTACAACCATGAAAATGGTGACTTTATTGGCAGCTAATTCTTTTAAAATTAAATCTCTCTCACTACTTGCAGTACATTGTCTTTCTTTCTGCATGGTTACCTGCATGGAAGCCAATATATTTCTTCTTGCATAAGTAAGGAATCCATAAAATTTGTTTTGGGACACTGTAGTAATAATTTTGTAGTATGTAAGAAATCTTCAGTTGAGGTTCTAACTTCAGATATGTTGCATTTGTTTTAGGCTGCTGAATTTGATGTATATGGCCGCTATGCCAAGGACATTATTCAGCAGCAAAGTCGAGATGCTCTCACACGGTTGATTAGTCAACCTGAGGTGTCTGATGCACTACAGTCAGCAGGTCATGGATTTCGGGAGGCTGTGAAATATTATCTGCCTAAACTTCTTCTTGGACCAGTCTGGCATTGTTTCCTTTACTTTGAATATATCAAGGTAAGTTAAACTTGAAAACTTAGCTGCAGTTTTCTTGATTGATTGCGGGAATTACATTCTGGCATGCTCTATGCGGGTATCCATTGCCATGGAGAAGGATTAGTTTCTTTGTGAGCAAGCCAGGGCATTTCGTCCATATGGCATTCTTCAGGTATGTTAGTGTTGTACAGTAGAAATCTGCATTCAGTATTGCCTCCTGTTTCATGAATTAAAAAGAGAATGTCCTGTGCATTC